ACAATCCATTCGGTCTTCAACCGACTTCCGAACCTTAGTCCGGGAACCACCCAATTGGCCTATAACCAAAATGGGGGATCATGCAACACATAACACATAGGAGCACGTAGTAACACATTGGGAGGGGGACGACATCTAAATCAACTTACGTGTGATCGTGCACATACTAAGAATAGTCCTAAGGGTTAATACAATTTCCACCTAGGTCAACGGGCTACCAATTCAACTAGCATGCGATTCCTAAGACTTATTCAACCTATGAATGGTATCCGAAATATCAAACTAGACTCAAGCACGACAAACGGGGTCAGTTGGGACGCCACGGGGAGCGGGGAACATCAAACGGGGAAGCCAAAGACCCGGGGTGTGGTATGGACCAGCGGGTAGCCGGTGGGTGGGGGTCACCCGCCGGCTGCCCGCCGGAGATCACTTTCCGGCAGCGGGTTGCCGGCGGGCAGGTGACTGCCCGGCTGCTGCCCGCTGCCCGACGGTGATTTCTGGGCAGCGGGTAGGTGGCGTGTTCCGCTACCCCCACTGACTCTTTTACCATAACTTCGTCTCGGGATTCGTTGTGGAACCCGAAACCATGCTTAGATACTTTTAAACGCAAAAATACTTCAGGAGTAACATACTCTTTTACCCGTTTTAATGTCTAATTTGTTTATTTAAATATGTAATTTCTAGTATATGAATACAATGTAATATATGAGATTCATTATAATTGTTACTAATTTTTTTTTATAAATAATAATCAAGTATTTTTGTTGCAAAGGGTTATAATATATTTAATGAATGAACATATATACAAGATCAATGAATGAATCAACGGTACCAGTCCTTTAGGTGTTTTGCTCAGTGTTCATTTAGTTCAACCATTATTGTTGAATAAATTATTATGGATAAAGAAATTCCTAATGTAAGGAATTTAGATGTAGTAAAAATTTAAAATTTTTAATTATAATGTAACCCAAAGATATTAGACGATTAGAAAATATGATGTAACCCAAAGATCAAAATGCTAAAGAAAGTGCTTTGGTTATTCAACAGTTTGAAGCAACAATTTGTTCCAAACCACTGAAAATATAAACATTGCAATTTACAATATTTTCACTTAGCGTTTTTGAGAATGATTTTCCCAAAACACATCTATATTTTTTTAAAAAAATATTATTAAAACTATTATTATTATTATTATTATTATTATTATTATTATTATTATTATTATTATTATTATTATATGTATACCCTTAGGTCATTTTAAATGTTAATGTAAACAACTAATTTTTTTAAATATCTTTTTACCAACCGTTGATATTATTCGCTGGTCAAATCCGCTAATATAATCCACTAATGCTAACCGCTAACTGCTAATTGTCAAACAAGGACATTGCGAGCTAGTTTCTCACTTCAATTTGTTGTGTGATTTGAATACTCTCTTTGTCAACAAATCCCTCAAGTAGTTAATATGATTCGCTTTATTACTTTAAATTTTTTTTTAAAAAATCATGGTATTAATAAAATACTTTGTAAATAAATATATATCATTATTTTGTATTATAACTTTGATATTTAATTAAAAAATAGTGCACAAAAAGATAATAGACAATGTAGTGAATATAATCAATTGATGAATTTGAATGTAAAGAATTTTTAAATTGGAGAAAAATAAAGACAATATAACTAATAAAAATTATTTCTCTTAATTTTTTTTTTTGAATGTTTATTTCTCTTAATTAATTTATTGATAATGAATAATTTTTTTTAATAAAGACATTGTAGGGACAATGTAACAAATATAATCAATTGATGGATTTGAATTTTGAATGTAAAGAATTTTTATATTGGAGAAAAATAAAGACAATATAACTAATGGAATTATTTTCTCTTATTTAATTTATTGATAATGAATAATTTTTTTTGAATAAAGTCATTGTAGACACATAATTCTAAATTGAAGAAATGCATATGTATTATTTTTTGTTGTAGCTACTAAATTATTATTTAATTTAATAAGAGTAAAATAGAATACTAATTATGCCAACTTTGATTGGGATGAGGTTCGAACTTAAGACCTTTCTTATTGAAATCAATGAGTAAGTTAACGGTGAACTAACAGAAATTAACGGAAACGATAATATTTAACGAAAAAGTTAACGGATAATCATATTCATTAAGGATAAATTAGGAAATCTCAAGGAAAAATTAAAATCTGATCATCTGATCAATTTGATCAATCTGAGCCAATCATTTGATTAAAAAATTTGACCGCCATTTTTTTTCTACCAATTATAGGCCTAACTCTCTTGGGCTCTTATTAGTGTGTATATATATATATATATATATATATATATATATATATATATATATATATATATATATATATATATATATATATATATATATATATATATATATATATATATATATATATATTACTGAGGACATTATTATAAATTGACCCATATAACATAAAATATAACCCCTGAACTAAACAAGGTAATATTATATTACACCATCCAAACCAAACACAGAAGGTAATCTTACATTCCCAAAATCTCACATTACCTTCCAGGAGGTCATCCTATTACCTGGGGTAATCCAAGATTCCGTGAACCAAACACCCCCTAAAAGTGTCCAAACAAATAATACTCTGGGATGTTAAATGACAAAAATGATAGTCTGGGACAAAATTTGAATTTGTCACCAAAAACAAGGGACCTATGGTGGAATTAATTAACTCTTTCATTTAGTGTTAGCTGATATGAAAATTTTAATGAGTAAGTATGTTTTCTCATGTTAGTTTAACTTTTTTTAAACGATCTGCGAATCAGGCACCTCATATGTTAGCTAAGTAGTCTATGTTTGGTTGCATGGAGTGGTTCTAGCCCTCCAAAAATATCATTTGTATTTTGTAGGCTATGTTTGGCAAACCTAGCTTAAAAGCTATAAGCTAGAAGCTGAAAACTGAAGAGACATTAAGCTAGCTGATTATGCTTTAAAATGTTTGGTAAAATTAATTTTTTTTATAAGATGATAAATGTTAAAAGACTAAAAATGACATCTTCATAAAATTTCAATAGTTTTAAATTTAAATAGCTTTGTTTACCTATTAACATTTAACATTTTAAAATGAAATTATTGGCATAATCATGATGTAACATCACATAATGAAGTAGACACACATACACGGATACTCTATGTTATGTTGCGTGCCCACATATCAGAACAAAAATTAAGAATACTACGTTAATTTGTTGACTAAGCAAGCGACTATGGAACATGATTCTGGGAATGGGAATGTGGGTAGCTTGAACACTAAAATAGCTAGCTGTTTGTCTATATATATATATATATATATATATATATATATATATATATATATATTATAATATGAAAAAATTGCGAGTTTAGTCCCTGAGTTATAATGGTAGTGATGCCGTATCCATTTTTAGTCCCTGAATTATGAGCGAAGTGGGCGCATTTGGTCCCTGGCCGTTAAAACTAACGGAAAAATTAAAAAAATATTTAAAATTTGAAGGGTAAAGTAGTAAATTCACATTTTATTTTCTTTCTTATATTGAAATCACTTTTGCAATATTATTTTCAACTTCCTAGCATTCTTTTTCAAGATTTTTCAATTCCAAAAGCAATTCAATAATCTGCGTACTACCCGGGTGCGTAGTGAGAGTAGCTACACTACTCTGGGGTTCCCCCCTCCTTATGGTCAAAAAAAAAATTAAGAATGGTATATCTTGACAATATATGAAAATTATATATATATATATATATATATATATATATATATATATATATATATATATATATATATATCCATCACCTCCCTTGTCTTCTTAAAAATCAGAGTATTGAATGAGAAACCTAAGACTCAGTTATGAAAATTCTAAAAACTTTTGTAACTTCTAAAAATGATTATTGATGAAACTACTGCATATGAAAAAATATTTACAAACTAAATATCTCAAGTTATTCTGTTGATGAATTTCTCGTAAAAGCAAATTGAGAAATTTGACATCATTTGGTATCTCACAAGTTCTGGTTTGATTACCTTTGTTGCTTAGTAAAAAAATTGAAAATTGATAGGAAAGTCTATTTCACACGTCTGAAGACAACGATCAAGTGTTTCTTTATTTTTGCTAAGTCTTAAGTTTGTTATACAAGAGTCAGGTTCATAACAAGTCATACTAAAGTTATTGAAATGCTTTTAGAGTTGAACAATCTTGAAATAAGAGGCTAAGAAGTGAAAAATAATGTTGTGAAAGTGATTTTGATATAAAAAGGAGAATAAAATCTGAATTTCCTACTTTACCCTTCAAATTTTAAATATTTTATAATTTTCCGTCAATTTTAACGGTCAGGGACCAAATGCGTCACTTCGTTCATAATTGATGGACTAAAAATGGATACGGTAATAACTCAAGGACTGAGTCGGAACTTGGGTATAACTTAGGGACCAAAGATGCAATTTTCCTTTATAATATAATATTCAAATTTAAAAAAATATAAAGAAAAACCATACCTAGGATCTGAAAACTTGTTCGAATGAAGATGTGTTGTTGGCCCGTAAGAATTGCGGGAGAGGACGAGTAAAAATATAGGAGAAGAGAAAAAGGCCAAAAAAATTTAATTGAAAGGTAAAAACTGTCATTTATTTAAAATAATAAGGGTAAAGATGAAAAAAAAAGTTTCTAAGCTACTAGTTTATTTTTGAAACGTTATCTTAAGTAGCATTTCAAAATAAGTTATTATTTTAAGCTAAATACTAACTTATTTTAAAAACATTACCAAACAAAATTTACAGTTCATTAGTAGCTTAAAATAAGTTATAAATTTCTAGATAAACTCCGTCGAATACAGTCCTAATGTTCTTTCCTTGGATTTGAATTATGAAATTATACATTATACATTTCAAAAAGAAAACAAAAAAACATATGATATCTGATACTGAAGTAGCTAGAATCTAGGAGACAATCTAATGTCCGAGCAGCCATTTGAAGTTACAAATTTAACCTCAACCCAAAATCTTGACTACCTTTTTGCCTCCTCGTCTTCGTCTTCCTCTCCACCTCTGTAAATCTGTAATGGGGTTTATGGTCACCATTTCCCATTCTTCGCCTCTCTTACACCTTCAAACCCATACCTCTATTGTCAACTCATCACCCTTCTTCCGCAACATCCATATACTACACAGGTAATTCCCGCCCTCTTTCTCTGATCTGTGTTTATGCTTTCTGAATTCTTGTTTGTGGTTCAGGAAAATCAGGTTTATTAGCTGTTCGGCGCTGAATAAGCCCAACAATGCCGCTGCCGCCGCCGCCGCCACCACAAGCGGCTCCGACACTCTCAGAATCATATTCGCCGCCGGTGGCACGGGGGGCCACATATACCCAGCGGTGGCTATAGCAGATGAGCTGAAAGCCATAAACCCCAGTATGCAAATGCAAGCCCTCTTTGTGGGCATGCCCGGTGGAATGGAAAGCGCCGCCGTGACGGCGGCCGGCTACTCCTTTGCACCCGTCCCAGCCTCCCCCTTGGCCCGACCCTTCTTCTCTCCCTACAACCTCTTCATTCTCCCTTTCCTTTTAATCAACTCTCTCCTAAAATGTTTCCAATTGCTCCAAGAATTCAAACCCCAGATTGTCGTCGGCACCGGCGGCTTTGTTTCATTCCCCATTTCCCTCGCCGCCGCGCTTGGAGGCGTCAAACTTGTAATCCAAGAGCAAAACGCAGCCCCCGGGATCGCAAATCGTGTGCTTTCCCTCTTTGCTGATAAAATATTTTTAGCATTCGATTCGAGTATTGAGTGTTTTTGGCAGAAGAAAAAGTGTGTAGTTTGTGGCAATCCAGTAAGATCTTCATTGAAAAGAAATGTCTCAAAAGAGATGGCAAGACAACATTTTTTCCCAGAATTGGGAGATTTGGAAGGAGAAGGGAAAGTAGTGTTAGTTCTGGGAGGATCTTTGGGTGCCAATGCAATCAATGTTAAGCTTTTGAATTTGTATTCTAATGTGTTGGATGAGAGGAAGGATTTGTTTCTCATTTGGCAGACTGGTGTGGAAGCTTTCCATGAAATTGAAAGTCTCGTAAAGACCCATCCTCGATTAGTCCTCACTCCGTGAGTATCATAATTTCAGTTCGATATATATTAGCATGCAAAGTTGGTTTTTTTGAAGAAAGATCAGATGTTAACCTTCATGCCTTTTGACAAGTTTCAATGTGTTTTAGCATCCTTAATTTATTGTGTTTTAGTTGGTTTTTTTTAAGAAAGATGTTAACCTTCATGCCTTGTGACAAATTTCAATAATTCAATGTGTTTTAGCATCCTTAATTTAATCATTTATTCCTTGTTATTGTGTTTTGTCCTTTATATATAAGTGCACATTTATCTCTTCTTGACTAGAGTATCTGAAGAGATGAGCTTCTGTTCTTGTTAAAACTGGAGCTATGCTTGTTAGTGAAACAAAAAACCGTATGCTTTCCCAATTTTACATTTATTTAGCGAATGTTATTATGTTTCCATTCAGGTCTGATTTCATTGTAACATCGTGAAGGTAGGTTCTTGCACGCTATGGATTTGGCATATGCAGCTGCAGACCTTATCATTTCAAGGTCTGGGGCAATGACTTGCTATGAGATTTTGGCTACTGGGAAACCTTGTATTTTGGTACTTTAGTTTCCTCCACTTTTTCTCTATCTGAATGCTTGATGACAGTGTTTACATTCTAATTCTCAATAAGTGATTATATATACTACATATGACTTTCTGTTGGGCGGAGGTCGGTAAAGGCCAAGTCTAAAACTCGGTGGCTAGGGGTTGTTGAGCGGAGGCCAGTAAAGGACTTAAAAGGTCAAGTCCAACACCCAGCGTCTCGAAAATGTGTAACAGTATAAGGAAATAAAGTTGTGCCTTCGTTATTAGCTATGCTATAGCTTTTGGCATAGTGGTGAGCTTTGATCCTAATAAGTGGTATCAGAGCCAGGTCAAAGGTTCAATGACTAGATAGTAAAAGTATCCTCCATTTCTTTTAATTTTTTGACTTTAGTGTCTCTTCTTTCTTGAATATTTTCTCTCCTATTAACCTTTTCTGTATGTCTTTGGTGAAAAGCTTTTCTTGAATTCTGCAGATACCATCACCAAATGTTGCAGAAGGGCACCAACTCAAAAATGCTTGTTTAATGGCCAAGCTAGCTGGTGCAAGGGTTATTACAGAAAACGAACTCGATTCATTTGCTCTTAGAAGTGCTACCGAAGAAATTTTAGGTATGCAGAGTTTGTCTTTCGTGTAGATCACTTCTTGACGTTAACCCTATCGATAATTGCATGTAGACCCTAGCAATAACTCTGTTTGCATGATATAGTTATTTCAATTCAGCCAATAATCTGAATGTCTATGCTTTTGAAAGAGTTAATACCCATTTTGGTCCTTTGACTATTAGCTAATACTCGATTTAGTCCCAAAGTATTAAAAGTACCCAATTTAATCCTCTAACTTTTAAAATGGTACCCAATGTGGTCCTCCGTTAGAATTGCCATCTATCCACCGGTATTTTGAAAGGCATAAGTTTCATTTTAGTTGATAAAGCACATTTCTTCCTTAAATGAAGTGACACCAACGACGTTAACCAGAGGAAGAAACGAGTTTGGACCAAGTAAATTGACTTCTTTGCACTCAAAATAATGGTGGATAGATGGCAATTCTAACGGAGGACCACATTGGGTACCATTTTAAAAGTTAGAGGACTAAATTGGGTACTTTTAATACTTTGGGACTAAATTAAGTATTAGCTAATAGTCGGAGGACCAAAATGGGTATTAACTCCTTTTGAAATATAAACATAGAATAAACTACCCTGCAATTTAAGTGCCCAGATCCTTAAAATGGAGAAAAATACATCTGACTAGTCCCTAGATATAACAAGATAAGAATACTATGTAGAATGAGATAACTGATAAGCCAAGTAGCCCATTCTGATGCACTAAGCACTTCAGATTTGCTTTTTTGTCTAAACTAAACACCAACATATTGTGAAAATTGTCAGATGTGAAATACCCTCATCTTGAAAATGAAAGTAAAATCAATTAGGACGCCTGTTTGTTGGGGATTGGAAGGAACAAGAAAAACAAAGTACCTTACATGTCTATAGCATAGTTCTTACACCCTCAGAAGACACACAAATCTAATTGAGCCATGTACTTGCTGTTTGATGTAAGTTTCTTAAACCTGAATGATTGTTTCAGGGGATGAGAGTTTGATGGCAGATATGTCTAAGAGAGCTTTAAAGGCTGCAAAGCTGGATGCATCTGCTGAAATCTCTAAACACATTCTCTCTCTTGTCAACTTCTCAGTAATCAGTTGTGAATGCAGCTAATTGAGGGGTGTTTGACAATTAGCGGTTAGTTGATAGCTCATTGATTTAGTTGGTATCTGATAATTGATTGTGTTAATTAGTTGGCTTGACCAATTAGTAGTATATTAGTATGTTATAAAATGATGTTTGGTAAATTAGTTGTTTACTCTTAGTTAATTACATATAAAATGTGTTTAAAAAAAAAATTACATATAAAATGTGGGGGAGAATTCCGGGATAACCCGGGTTCGATTCCCACAAGTGACGATTCCCTCTGGGCCAGCTTCAGTGCCTCTCGAAGCGAACCGGGTGGACCTGGACCGTTAAACGGACAGAGAAAGACCCGAACCACATTGTGGTTTACATAAAAAAAAAAAGTATTTTTATAACCTAATGTTACCATTGTGTTATTATTAATTCTTTTGAATATTATTTGTATTTTACTATTAATATTGTTATAATTATAAAGAAGTAGAGGAGGAAATTTCAATTTTGGTCCTATGACTATAGGGATCTTGTTAATTTCAGTCTCTGAGATTTTAAAAGTGTCAATTTAATATCTTAACTATGTAATTTTTGTCAATTTTGGTTACTCCGGCCAAATTCCGTCGGAAAATTTTAATTGTTAAAATAATGATGGTATTTTGATTATTTCACGTCTCTTTTTTTTCTTCCTAGGTGAGTCCATCCCTTCCTCTCCCGTTTTCGGTGAATGCAATGAACTAAGATGATGAGGAAAGGAGGATTGATGATATTAAAGATAGGGTTTACAAGGAGAAAGAATGCCGAAAATGGGAGAGAAAGGAATGGACTCGCCGGAGAAGAAGAAAAGAGGCGTGAAACGACAAAAATATCCTCATTATTTTAGTTATTAAAATTTTTTGACGTGACCAAAATCGACAAAAATTGCATAGTTAAGGTACTAAATTGACACTTTTGAAAGTCAAGGACTAAAATTAACAAGACCACTATAGTCATATGACCAAAATTAAAATTTCCTCTAGAGAAATATTACGTAATTAAAAAATAATTCAATATTAAAAATATAATTTCAAAAAAAAAAAAAAAAAACTCCGTAATAAAAATAAGTTATTAATAATAATTCAATATAATGGTTAACACAATTATATATGTGTGTGTGTCTTAGGTAGAGCTATCAAATGGGCATGCAAATTATTATGTGAACTCGTGTCCACTTTGTAAGGTGAACTTGAGTCTAAATGTTCACAATATACTTTTTAAAAATTTACAGTGTGTATTAGGGGTGTAAACGAGTCGAGCCGAGCTCGAGCCTGGGTAGACGCGAGCTCGAGCTCGTTAATGAAGGCTCGGCTCGAGTTTGAGCTCGAGCTCGATCGAGCTCAAGAATTGACGCTCGAGCTCGAGCTCGGTAATTTTCGAGCTGCTCGAGCTCGGCTCAAGCAGCTTGATTGTTCGAGTTCGATCTTGAGCTCGAGCTCGAGCTCGATTTTGACATTGAATTTGACCTATTTAAAACTTTTGATTAAAAATTCAAACTACTTTGTTTTATCCATACATAAGTAATAGAAATCTTTTAGGGATTTTGAGTTTAAAATTTTAATTTCTAATTGTTATTTTTATATATTATTATTATTATATTATAATATATGATATTATGTATTATATATATTATATATTATATGGCTCGACGAGCCACGAGCCTAGAATATCTAGGCTCGGCTCGAGCTCGATTACTAAACGAGCCGTTCGAGCTCGGCTCGAGCTCGATTTTGACCGAGCTCGAGCCGAGCTTTGACCGAGCCGCTCGCAAGCTGCTCGGCTCATTTACACCTCTAGTTTGTATACTAAGAACACACAATGTTAACATATATGTGTTGGTTTTATGGCCTAGAGTAGCCGTTTGGCTGGCCAACACTACCATAAAAATAATAGGGTTTGAGATCGAACTAAGAGATGTCAAAAAAGAGAGAGTAACGAGTTCTTATGATCAGGAAACATCAAGAAACCTAAGTTCTTGCACAATCCACACTAGCAAAGAAAATAGCAAAACGATAAGAGCTCAATTTCCCTTAGTTTAAAGTGTATAAGATGCAGAAAGTCATACATTTCTTCAGGCAAAAGCCACAGTTATTGCTAAATCAAATCAAACCAAACCTGAAGCATTAAGGCATCATTTGCTATCTTTTCTCTCAGGATCTCTATTGATGTTTTTCTTTAAAACAATTATATCAAACTTATTTGTGAAAACATGTCATCAATGGCAACAAAATACAGGATTGAGCTGAAATGAAAACTTAGAGAACATAGTTAGAAAGTTAAATATTCATAAACTTTCTTTACAAAAAAAGCTACACAGTCCATCATGAACATCTTCATAAGTTTGATGGCAAAAAAATAGCATAACATAGTTAGAAAGTTAAATGTTCGTAAACTTTCTTTACAAAAAAAGCTACACAATCCATCATGAACATCTTCATAAGTTTGATGGCAAAAATGTAGCATAACATAGTTAGAAAGTTAAATGTTCATAAACTTTCTTTACAAAAAAAGCTACACCGCCCATCATAAACATCTACATATGTTTGATGGCAAAAATACTAGCATAACATAGTTAGAAAGTTAAATGTCCATAAACTTTCTACACAAAAAACTACACCACCCATCATGATTACAAGCTAAACAAGTTTAGCTTTTTGGATGCTTCTCATGGTCATGAAAGTACTTAATGTATCCAAGCCTACTCTCATCATCCGGCAATCCAAGAAAAATAGATCTTTTTTGAGGATCTTCAATCATCGTGCAAGCAAAGAAGAACTCGGGGGCATGGGGCTCCAAACCGGGCAAACTACACACTTTAGCCAAAGCATCTTCAATACCATACTTTGTTGTACTAGCATTCATTGAATTTATCACATTCATGTTGCTATTCATCATGTTCATCATTGAAGTATTCATTTCTTGTGTTGAAGTATTCCTCTCATTAATTTGTTGCATCAAGTCACCAAGCATTTGTTGGGTTGTGGCAGCCTCTTCTTTTTTAGTAGAAGTCTTTGCACTCTTATTACTTTGTGATGAATCACCCTCAGTAGCCCTCTTACCTCTTCTTATGTCATCCATCTCAACATGTGTTACTTGAGTGATATTAGTAGATGTAGGAGTAGGGGTAGGACTAGACTCTCTCCATACATCATCCCATGATGCTCCCCAATAGTAATTCATGTCATCTAAGAGAAACATGATCATCATTCCTATGAGGTGGGGGAGGAACATATACTTCTTGTTCATGTGGAGAATTGGCTACCGGACTAAACTTGTACTTTCTTTGGGCATAAGATCCAAAGATTTGATTCATTCTATTTTCAAGCTCGGGCTCAATCCCTTCATCTCGAAATGAGTCAAATTTGGAATTTTCCTATAAAATAAAACACAAATTTTTTTAATAGATATATTCTAACTATTTAAAACTAAAGTAAGTCAACTTAAAAGATAACTAACCTTAATTTTCATAGCCCACCATTCATCGTTAGCACTTATAGTCCCTTTCACATGATCCCATCCTAGTCCCGTCTCTTTTTCTTTCAATTGTTTCCATAAGCTCCGATCCATCTATTTCTCATCCAATCCACCTTATTTTTGAGTTTATTTTTATCCCATGCCAACTTACTTTGGTTGTTGAACTCTAATTCAATCTCTTTCCATATCAACCTTTGAGAGGTAACTCCACCTTTTTTTTCCTTATGGCCCGTTTGGTTCACGGAATAGGCCGGGAATGGCATAGCATTCTCAGTAATATGTTTATTCCTTTGTTTGGTAACCATTTCTATTACCATGAATAGTATTCCTGGTAATAGCCTATTACCTCAAATAAGGTAATAGCTATTACTAGGGCCTCCTTGGTATTAGCCTATTACTGAACGCTCAGGAATAGATTTTAGAATCTATTTTCTTTTTTACCCCTTTCTTTAACCTAATTTTTTTTATCCTATATATAAATTTATCATATTTCACCACCGTCGTCGCCACCACCAACATCACCGCCGCCACCACCACCAACATCACCGTCGCCGCCACCGCCGCCACCACCACCACCACCATCGCCACAACCGTCGCCGCCCCCACCACTGCCACCGCCACCACCACCACTACCACCACAACACCACCACCACCACCACTACCATCACCACCACCGCCACCACTACCATCACCACCACCGCCACCACCATCGTCGCCGCCGCCACCAGAACTACCATCCAGCAGCACCACCGCCACCACCGCCACAACTGTCGCCGCCCCCACCACCACTGCCACAACCGTCACCGTCACCACCACCACCGTCGCCCCCACCACTGCCACCGCCACCACCACCACTACCACCCCAGCACCACCACCACCGCTATCACCATCGCCACCGCCACCACCACCACCGCCACCGCCACCACCACCACCACCACCATCACCACCATCACATATTTTTATAAGGTTATTTATGTCTTTTAAAACATATTTCATTTCTATTCCTTAAATCAACCAAACACTGTAATATAATTCCTAAAGTCTATTCCTTCCGCGAACCAAACAATAGAATACAATTCCTATTCTATTCCTTGCATATTCCATTCCTTATGGAATAGCATTTCTATTACCTCAAAATTCATTCCGTGAACCAAACGTGTTGTTACTCTTTTCAACATATTAAATACATAGGTCACAGAGTATGTAAAGTAATTCTTTCGACCAATTAACTCTAACCCCTTGATTTTCAGGGTTATATTATTATTATGCCTCACGGTCGTTATATATTAACAGATCTTGACAGAAAAAGCAATAATAATATAATAATAAAATAAGTGAAAATAATAATATCTAAAAGTAATCAAGTGTTACTAATAATAAGAATATTAACGTAAGAATTATAACATAGAATAAAACGTAATAATTCATCTATATCTATCTCTCTCTCTCTCTCTCTCTCTCTCTCTCTCTATATATATATATATATATATATATATATATATATATATATATATATATATATATTGTTTAAGTATAATAAAATCCTGTGTAATAATGTAATAAAAAAATAAAATTATAATAATAATAATAATATTAATAATCCAAACAAAACTACATACAAAATAAAATTA